TATTTTATTTTATTTCTTTTTCAGCTTGATCATTCCGCGTATGGAACGCGGAGGAATGAGGAATCTTAAGAACTAAGATTGAAGGACAAGAAACAGAGACAACAAAACGTAGTGCACAAGTTAGCGCGTGCGGATATCCATAGACGACCTTATCAGGCCTTTATTGTTGTTTTAGATGAGGAATGCTAGCTACACTCGCCTTTCTCCAGCACTCTCCAACACTCTCTCATGTGAAATGTCCACGTAACAAATTTTGGCTCGCAATTCAAAGTTTCCAACTAAAAAAAAGTTCACGTGGCTATTTTAGATGAGGGAGTGTTGGAGAGTGCTGGAGAAAGGCGAGTGCAGTTAGCATTCCTCTGTTTTAGATTAGATAAGATAGCTCGTCACGCCTTTTAAATATGCTTTGATGAAACGCGTTTATCTTTCGTCTTGGTCAATTGGTATTGGTTGATTTTTCCTTTTTCCCTTTTTTTTTTTTTCTTTTTAGATGAAATTGATATTGGTTGTTGTAACGAACGTCCTATTTTGTCCAACCTAATAAAAACAAACATCGTTTTGAACAAAAACAGTAAAAAATATATTGAATTAGTTTTTTTAAAAAGTATTGTATAATTTAAATTAAATTAAATTATATAAATATAATCATTAAATAAAAATAAACTTCTAATATTTACTTATATTTAATAATTCATATTATATAATTTAATATAATTAAAAATATTAAATAAAATGATAAAATCAAAAATAAAAAAATCTTAACATACCAAAACTTTCATAAAGTAATTAATCACGTGAATTCTAATATGAGGTCCACGCGATTGATGCCTTGATAAACATCCTCAAAATTCGAGGACCCAAACAAGATATTCATTAGTTATTTAGTTTAATATGAAGTGTATACCTACACTAAATCATAAAATAAAAATTATTAAATAGAAACAATTGTTAATATTAAGAGAGATAACGATTATCTACTAAAAAAGTTATATAGTTCAAACTCACAACATTTACATAAATAAATAAAGAGAAAAAATATAAAAAAATTAATATGTCTTAACATAATATTTAATTATAATAATAAATTTTTTTTTATCTTGATTACATAAGTAATCATATTTTATTCCTTATTTCATCACAT